GTCACTAAATAAAAATTTCACAAGCAAATTTTTCTTGCGATCGCGAACTTCTGTAAATATCTAAAAAGTCAAAATTCTTAGCGTTGAAATGTGTGCCATCTAAAACAGAGACGAATTACGCGTTGGCTAGGAAAGGTATATCTTCTGACGTTCTCATAATACTTTCAGTAGCACACAAAAAAAGTCTGTTGAGTGTCCATTTTTTAGCACTTGTGCAGATTTTAGAATGTCTTTTTTATTTATTGACTATAGAAAGAGCAGCAAAAGAAGTAGTTCGTTATATTAATAGCGATCTTTTTTTTGAGAAATTCATGTTTATAATCGTTCTTCTCTCATAGTGAAGTTCGATTGTGAGCGAAGAACGACGTTTTTTTTGCTTTTTTAGACGCACTTTTAAAGGTTATGTGATAACTTGCGAGACTCGTGGTACACAAATAATTTTCCATTAATGAATGTCAAAATCTATTGAAGGAATCTCTATATAAAAACAAAACAGAAAGTTACCTGTATTTACCCTGCAGATATTATGATTATATGCTATTTTTTTCCTTGAGTTTATACCTGTCATAAACGCGAACGGCAAGAAGTAATGATGCAGAGCGAAAGAAAAATAATGAGTCAAATTTTTAAATAATTTATATACAGATGCAATATAATTATATTCACTGAATAGTACTTCAGTTGGCTATTATTCGTGATGCTGAATCATAATGTGCACATACCTATAGCGAATACTCATGATGATGACATCAATGATCCAACAGCACCTTTTAATGAACTTGAACCATTCGATTCTCTTTGGCAAGCATTACGATGGCGACACGTACGAACTCGAGTACCAGTTTGTTTCAGAAAGACTATTCGAAATCGATACATGCTTGCCAATCTTGTGTATTTGTGTTATGCAATTGCAATTTTAATTATTGATTTCAATCCAAATGTGAATAGTTCAGCTGATACCAGTACTTTGGATACATTGTGTAATGAAACACCATCGACATCAATTCTTGACCAACCAGTGTGCAATACTCCTCTTGTAAATCATCTCTTTATTGGTAAATAGAAAAACATTGATAAATGCAGCGGGAATAACGTTTCTGAATAATCGAGATAGTGCTTTTTTCTCGAGTCCTATCAGAACAAAATTTTTTTTCCACATAATTTTAACATTGATCACAAAGAAGTGGTCAAATAGAATATTATCTCTAGGTATGGCGTGTATTCATATCCTTTCGGCGTTTCTTTATTGGTGGGCATGGCATGATCGAACATGGCGTGATGTTATTATGATACCAGAATATTTGAATCATTTGGAAGCTGGACTCTATCTATGGTCAGCTCTTTGGTATTCAAGAGAAGATACACTTGGTGGTTATTACACATTAGCAGTACATAAAATCGAATTAGCAGCAGCACTTGTAGAAATATTGGCATCGTTTGGATGGTTAGTAAAAAGAACAAAAGTCAATTGACATACAAAGCATTTAGTGCATTGCAACTGAAAAGAAAATGCATGTCTATACTAGAGAGAGAGATCGAACACAAATTTTCTTTTTTTTTAGGATAATGTCATGGTACATGACCTACATACGTACACTAGGACGTGGCTTTTCTCTTGACGATCCGGATACTATCAGTTATTTATCGACTTCGATTAGTTCAATCATTTATGTTATCTACAATATACAAATTAATATTTATCCGGAACAGTACGGCACTAATTTCTTATATACATATGGAGATATTGTTTATTTTGTTGGTGCTTGCTATTATATTATAGCTGCCCTACGTGATGATCATTGGTTTTGGTTTCTCCCATTTGCTGGGCAGTACGGTGTAGCAGTCGGTAGAATTCATGTCGATACAAGATCTTTACCACAATTTGGAGTTCCGAGAGTTTTAATCACAGATCTCTGCTGTCGAAAGCAAAAAGATACAACGATTAAAGTGAACAATCAACGTGAATTCGATAATGGCAATTCTATTGTAACAACTTACCTTTGATATTGTTGTATTGAATATTGGTAATGTGATTTGTTCATAAAAATAGTGATACTTTCAACTTTGACGTTTCGTTCATTAGTAAGACTTTTTGAAAGTAAAAACTGAAGAAACATATCAAGTTCAACAACTTTCTTTTTGCGATTGATCTAAAAATTTTAGAATCTTGCATGGTTAACATTTTCAATGCTGATCCAATTGGATTCTCAATTGTTTGGTTTTGTTTTCAAGAATCACTGCTATTCAGTTGATTCTATATTTACTCAACATTCGCCTGAGAGTAGAAAAATGCCTTGTGTTGCAGTTTCGTACAAATAAAAGAGTTCTCTAATTATAATTACCTTGTATTATAAATAAAGGAATAATTGGCTAAAGAGACCAGAAAAGAACAAACAAACAAGCTCGGTGAGAAAAATCATCAAGTATGAAGTAGGAAAAGGAGAACGGAACTTCTTATTTATTTAATGAATAACAGTTGGGATGGAATATAGCAGAACAAAGAAACGTCAAAAATCAACAATGCATCTTTCGACAAAGGGTGTGGATGTGGGTGTGGGGGTGGGGGTGTGGGTGCGGGTGTGGGTGTGCCTGTGGGGTGTGGGCCTGGGTGTGGGTGTGTGATGTGGGTATGGGTGTGGGTGAGTGTGGATGTGGTGTGGGTGTTAGTATTTCTTTTCTTTTCACGCACACCCACATCCACACCCACACCCATACCCACCCACACCCACGCCCCACACCCACCCACCCACACCCACACCCTAATATATCCTTTGATACCGACAATATAGGTTACAAGAACAACCAAAATTAATGGAAAAATTCACGATAATATTAAATAACAGTTGAACAATACAAAAACAGATCGAACTATTTTTTGACAAAGAAATTAAATCAATCTGCGAATCTGAACTTTTGCTTTTCAATAAACCGCTTTCTCAAAAACTAAATACTAAACCTCGTTTTCCTCAAAACCAGTCAGTTTTCGTTAGCAACTTCGAAATGGTGATAAATGCATGGAAATATAGTTCGTCTTGGGCTCTCTCAGAAGTGATATCACTTTTGATTTTGCATCTTGTTTTTTCCTGAAAAATTTCATCATTTTCTGTGAAAAAACTATCGATTATCGGCGACATCGGAAAAACCTTATTGTGTTTTTTCAATTTATGCTTTTTTTTAGGTCGTTCATCTCACAAGGAAAATTTTTAAAGATTAGAATAGATTAAAAGTTGAAAATTCTATGGCAGTAAGCTGAATTGAAAATTTTGTTTTTCTACAACAAAAGCCATATTTCGATCTATTATAATTAGAATCAGAATCAATAACAATTGATTGAAACTTCTTAACAATCGATTAATAATGATTATAATTTTGATTTTAATAGATCGAAATACGAAATCTGTTGCAGAAAATAAACAAAGTTAAACTGCAAAAAAAAATGATAACGAAAGTGAAACGTTTATTGCAGTTTTCCTAGATATTCAACATGTGACAGAGAGAAAAATATTCATCATATAATTAGTCCCTTTCTTTTTGAGAGAATGTGTATAGGTGTGGGTGGGTGGATGTTTGGGTTGAGAGAAGACTGATTCCAACACCCACACCCACACTCACCCACAACCACACTCCAAACCTCTACACCTCACACCTACACTTGTCGTGAGTAGGCTTACTACTTATCTATTGCAAAATAAGCATCATACATTTGATTAGTCGTCACCCAAATGACTTTCGCGGGTGAAAGAAAGTGAGCAAATTAAGAAGATAAGATGTATTTCATTTTCATATCCTATCTAAAGGATGATTGACCATCGAATACGTAAAGCAATGGCCGTAATAAAAGCGGAGGAGAAGCTGCTTATCAAACTGGAATAACAGTGACAATAAAATTGCAATAGAATTAGATGAGATTTTATGAAAACTAGTCACCTAAGGCAACAATAAAAGCGAAAAAACATTGTTGCAGAAATTGTAAATGTTTGCTTCTTAAAAATATAAATATTTCAATCATATTCTGTTCGATTGCAAAACCAGAGAAATTTCAACTCTAGCTGACCATTTTAAGTCAACATAACAAGTTTTTAATGAAAACTATTTTGTAACAAGCTATGCTAAACAGACATCCTATCTTAATTAGTACAGTAATCGTATTTGGTCTAAATCGGCATTATAAATGATGTAAAGAATCCGATGCATCGCATAATAAAAGGCAAACGAAACATGATGAGCCCACAGTTTATTCGGATTCTTTATTGTTGAAATCTTCAATTCCTTACTAAGTTCAGTATCTTGTCCCATCAAATTTGAGAAGATGTGAAAAGTTGTATTTCACATTTATGTTTGTATTTATTTGAATATAGACTATTTGCTTTCTGTTCGTGAGACTTTATAAGAGTGTGGGTTTGAGTGGAGCAAAGAATTACAATCACACCCACACCTTTTATGCATTACATTCACGAAATTTATTAAAAACATTATACATAAACGGCCTTTGTTTTTCATTTCTCAGATTTTTCTATATTTTGATTAAGAAAGACAACTACAATGATCTTTTTCTACTTTTTCAGTTTGGGTGTGGATGTAATTCTTTGCTTCAGTCAAACCGATACCCACACCTAAAATACAATAAATTACAACGACGAACAGTGGTTTCATTTTGTTTCGATAATGTAACCTGATACCAGTGAGTCTAGACAATGTATTACGAAGTTTTAATGAATCTGCGTCTAACAGAAATATTCGAATACATTTTATCCCATAGAAACAGTCATTGAAATCAGTAAAACTAGTTTCATATAGAAAAAGACAAGACCTCTATGATCGATTTTTCGAAAAACAAAGAAAAAATTGAAAAAAAATTAGTCCAACCGATCGCCCACCGCTTGCCGTCAGCGATTAAAACACTGGCTCATTTCACATACTCATACTCTTGCCATCTGGATTTATTACAATACATTTATTTTTAAAAGAAAGAAAATGAATGACTATGAATTAGCGACTTGTCAGAAATGTCGTAAAATTCGATTTGTAATTTGATTCATCTTTGTTCCATCAGTTCGTGGTCGTATCATAGGTAATGTTGTTGGACCAACTTTTCGTGCTTGTTGCCAGAATAAAAGTTTCTCTTTGACTTTAGATCGCAATTCAGATAATGATAAACAACAGACACATGGAAACAACAATATAACAAAATAATAAAGAAATCCTGTATAAATCAAAGCGACTTTTGCAATATTATCCGGTAAACCATATTGATGAGCAAAAATGACTAAAACCCATGGTACATTGAAGATGATATAGACAGCTGAGATGGACAACAATTGAATGATCATCTTTTTATGTTTTCGCCATTGAACTCCTTGACGTAAATGATTTTTCTGTAATATGGTACGAATAAGAAGTGCCACGCTAAAGAATACAATAATCACAGTGGGCAAAAATTGATGAACGATCAAATCCCACATTCCTAATACTGTATGATCAAAAACACAAGGAGTATGAAAACCTCCGGCTAAGAATGCATCAAATGAACTTTCACAAAATGGATAAAAAAAGACAAAAGAATAATAGATAAGCTAATAGATGATGATTGCACCGATTGGGAAGTAATGAAGATAGAGACGTTTATTTTTCGTGGCTACCCAATGACTATGAAATATAAGTATGTGTCGTTCTATAGTTGCCCAAGCAAACAATTCAACTTGAAGTGAATTAAATGCAAGGTTGATAAAAGCCCAGAAGCAATAGAATATGTATGATTTTTTTAGAGGCACATGATTATGATCATTGTAAAGAGTCCATAGAATGTTGGTTAATTCATCGATAAGACCAACGATGAGAAGAACAATAATGACATGATTATTGAGTGCACGACGAAGTGTTCGATCAGCAAGAAGATAATAGAGATCAAAGAAAGTACAGATAAGGGAAAATACATAAAAAAACAGGTAGGTCCAGAATCGTACAGGCTGAACGGATGATTGAACAGAAAGAGAAACTATGTTATCGCCTGACGAATTGAAGTTTACATTGACAGTATTCTTGTTTGAGTTCATCGTGTAATAGAAACAATGATTAATCAAATAAATGAGTAACGATAAGTTGAAGAACAATTGGCAAAAGGTGAGAAAAGACTTCGCTCCTGTGCTGAGTGGTATGGATGAAATGAGCTGTAAGATACAAGCAGTTTATTAGATTTTCAAAAATCACTGGAAGTTGCATGATACAAACCCGTGGGTGTCGCCTGCCTGTAAATACCTATAAATCGTTTGACCTTTTCTGTTTTATTAAATCAGTTGAAAGGATGGAATAAAACTAGATGACAGTCGAGTTTCACTCGATTGCAAAATGTGGTGCGAAGCTGGGAATGTTGATTATCTAAAAAAATGGTAACTCACAGGACGACAAAAAAACGATTCAACGATTTAGTAAGAACTCATTTTTCCGAAAAGAAATTCGCATTATTCACTGTAATGATGATTTCTCTTGCTGTTGTATATCGAAAAGCTTTCGTCTTCATTAACCAACTGGCCAAACGCACAATGACAACGAAAAGTAACTATTGCGAAATTCATTACTAAGAGAAATCTATTAACATGTATCAACATGTTTGTAATGAAGACTATTAATTGATCATTTTATTGAATCCAGGTGATAAATCACCTGGATTCAACTGTTTTGCGCAGGTGTTGTAGCTATACGTGAAGATAATGACACATAACTTTTACTTCTCCTTTCTTTTTAATTGTGACAAAGTTTGGGTGTGGGTGTGAGTGTGTGGGTATGAGTGTTAATTTCCCTCATTCAAATCCACTCACACTCACATTCTGATCTGATGAAAGGACTAAAATCTGTTGTATTAGTAGAGACTGCAAAAATGTCAGGATATTTTAAACGAGAAAGAAATGGCATGGCTCATTCCAAATAGAAAATACAAATGAATCGGGAAGAGATTTTTGATAGAAGATAAAGACTAAAGTAGACATACTTGAAAAGTCTCACTCGTCACAGTATAATTTGAAGAAAGAAAGGATTATCCATGCTAGGGAGAGTACAAAAACCATGATACTCACCAGTATCGACGAGAAAAATATGAAAAGAAGAGAAATTGATAGTTTAAAACCGTCAAGAGATAAGAACGAAAAACGCATGAACAATGCTTTCAATTAATGTAATGTCAAAACTAAACGACTTTTACACGATGGTTTAGCAAAATAAGACATTTTTGAGTGATTGTAGCTTATATCGAAAACTGAAACCTAACGAGGGAAATTTATTGGTATGCTTTTCATTTGGAAAAGTCATTACGAAGTTTAGAAAAAGAAATTTAAAATATATCAAGAAAAAGAGAAAAATGTTCTTACTATATTTTTGGAAGGAGTGCAAAATACAAACGGATTTTAACTTATTATGACGTGTCAAAATATCATAAAAGAAAAGCAATTGCATGGATTATATTGATGTTGCGTGAACATTATTCAGCATGATATGTGTTTCCGTTAGTCAGAATCTATTGAATTCCTGGCACCAAAATACCTAAACGAGATAAATAGGATTGCATTGAAAGCATACCATCGAAGATTTTGATAAACTTTGTCTTTTTAACAGAAATATCGAGACGAATTTAGTTTTTGTCAAATGCACAAAGATCTTTTATGTGTAATGACTTATTTTAAAATATTTCAACTCCATTGTTACTAATTTATTATGTGAAGCATCATGAACTTATTTTGAAAGAGCTCATCATTTAAAGGCTTTTTATGACGTCTATAACTTACAAGGCATTATTCAAGATACTCTATCCATTAAACTTCGACCGATGGGATCCTCGATCGGTTGGATAAGCAAATCTATATTTTTATTCAAGAAGAATTTTGAAATATTAATATTGTACAGTGTAATCATATGACATTACTAAAGTAAATAGTCTCTGATTTTATGATACAAGAAAGAACATATAAAGAGAATCTTGGTTGCAGAAATAACTAAAGTTATCAGAAAAAGTTTCAAAAATAAACTCTATTTAATTGTCTGCTCACGATGTCATTGAACTAACATTTTATTAAATTAACAGTATTTTGGTCTAGAATTATGTTTAATTATTTTATATATGATCAAGACCGAATTAAATAATAAATTATAGTTTATAAATAATCAAAATTCAAGACGCATCTTTTCTCTATCGTAGGTATTTTGTTCGCGTTTCTCTGTATGAAAGAGAGTAGCAATCACTTATTTCACCAAAAAACTGTTATTTTATGCTAAAAATTAGGAACGGTCTGTAGCAAAGAAAAATCATCAGCTAATAACAAAAGAGATAATTTAACGCATTCTTGCGTTAAATTTATAAATTGTATGTTTGAAATGCTACTTTATTCGTTTATCAACTCACTGAGACAGACAATATAAATAAAAATTGCGCTAAAACGCATAAAAAGTCTAGCATCTTAAAGCCTTCAATCGACTTTTTAATGATTTAAAATTCTAACTCATAATAAGTAATAGAAATATGCGACTTTATGACGTTATATTTACGAAATATTTCGACGTGTTTTTCAATTTAGCAATCTATGTGAAGAAAAAGTAATAACTCTATGCTACACAGTTCCTAGAGAAAGTATCATGATGATTTCTTAACTGCTTGCGTTTGGTTCCGAACACTATCATACACGTTAGAATTTATTATTTGTTAATCGATTTCAAACTACCATTAAACTTTGCGTGTAATTTATTGAATTTTTCGAAGTTAATTTAGGAAAAAAACTTTTTTAGATAGTATATCAAAGTGATGCAGGATGAGAATAAAACTAGTCTAGCTAATAAATCATCCTGGCAATATCTCAAGAAACCTCGAATCATAGAGTTGTGGCTTTTCTTCACAAAGATCTCTTAATCGTTTTCTAGCTATATTTCATAGCGTGAACAAACGGAGTTCGCAGATGGATGATATTTACTGTATTTTTTTAATAGTGCAAATAAAGAATACGCTACGGGTAGTGTTGATTGTTTTCAAATATCACCTACTCATATAATTTGATGTAAAGAATTTCCATGCATTCAGAAGACAAAAATATCTATCTACATAGGGCACGCCAAAAGTTTTTTCCCCCGATTCTTCTAAAAGCCTCAGTCTGAGTTCAAGTATTCTGTTATAATGCTTAGGCATATTTAGGATTATGTTCAAAATTTCAGACTTCTAAGTCTTGTACTTTGCTGTAGCCGATCATTTCTTTTACTCTAATAACATGGCATCTTCTATAAGCTACATAGCGAGTGACTTACAAAAAAAATGGCGGAACTTTGCATTTCATATTTTGATCCCTAACAAAATTTTATTTAAAAACAAACTATACCAGAAGATGCAGCGTGAAAAGCTGTACAATCTGCAATGTAAAGCTTATGTTGATTGTGCATGTTTTGCTTCAAAATAAACAGTATTCTGAGCGACCAATTCTGGACTGTGCGAAAAGTAGTTCAGAGAATTTTGCTTTTTTCCAAAAAGCAAAAAAATATAGTTAAGAGAAACTGTTGTTTGTAATTTGTAGAGTTTTTCACGCTGCATCTTTCGTCATATTCTGTTTCTTTGACAGAAGAACGGATTGGGTGAGAAAAAGATGAAATACGAAAAAACGAGGTCCTCGTTCGGGTAGAATCTTTGCGGTCGAGGAAATAGGTCACTTAGAATTTTGCTTGTTCTTAATAGCAACAACTGCATGCATAATATAAATTGTCCATTGCAAATTGTAGGGTTTTTCACGCTGCATCCTGTGGTGTATTTTGTCCTTTTTGAAATACAACATATCAGATGCTGAATAAGAAAAAAGCGTGTTCCTCGCATACGAAAAAAACACTTTTTTTACAAGGTCAAAATTGGATCGTTCAGAATTTTGTCGATTTTCGAAAGAAATAAATGCAACTGTAAAATAAGGTATATTGTGCAAAGTGTAGAGCTTTTCACGCTGCATACTATGGTATGTTTTGTTTTTTGTTTAATAGAAAAAATATCAGGTAAAGCAAGATGAAATAAGAAAGAAGCGAATTAATCTTTAATCAAAAAAACATTGTTTTTGCACCATCAAAATTTGATTCCTCACAACCTTGTCGAATTTTTAACACAAAAAATGCAACTGTAAAATTAATTGTCCTGCGTAAATTATAGAGCTTTTCACGCTGCATCTTCTAACATATTTTGTTTTTCTAATAGAAGGAATTTAGGAATCAAAATATGAGACGCAAAGTTCTCTCATACAAGATGGGTCATCCGTTAGCAGTCTGCGTGACTTAGCGTAAAAGAAATGATCAGCTACAGCAAAGTACAAGACTTAGAAGTCTGAACTTTTGCACATAATCCTAAATATGTCTAAGCATTATAACAGAATACTTGAGCTCAAACTGAGGCTTTTAGAAGAACCGGGAGAAAAAAGAACTTTTGGTGTGCCCTATGTATATACAAAATCAAATAGGA